CAATCCAGATTATTTACGGCTTTTTTCGAAGAGCGGTTTCGCAACGTTGTCTGGAAAGAGTTTAGACGACGACATGCCAGTTGCGGACGGAATTCAACGGCCAGGGAGAAAATTTTGTTCAATCTTGGCTCCTAGCGCACTTGTTTTGAGAGGAATCTAAAGCCTTTAGTTCCTCAACAATTGCGGATACGAATGCTTGCAGAGACCCTCCAAGCTGTTGCTTGGCACGCTCGAAATCGCTCAGACGGGCAGGAATTCACATTGACAAGAAGGAAAATTGGAGGTCCCGGGTCCCAGGTCACACAAATTGACCCAAGGGATGCTGGAAAGAAACAATCCACAAACGGATCCTGCAAGCGCTTCTATCGGCTCCACACGCGTTGAGAAGCGAACTGTGACGCACCTTCCAACTTCGACTCCGCAACATTATATTAACGACTCCCGGGAGCGGTGTGGAAAAGCCGCAAAAAGGCCCCCGGCAGGTACCGGGGCTCGGATTTCCCTGGGTCTACCGAGAAATCCAAGATTCCCACTGAACAAGCTTGCATGGGAAAAGAGGAAGAAGAAAGGGAGTCTGCAGACAGCGTTTCTTTTTTTCGACATTTGACAGGCGGCTGCGCGCAGACGAACTACCTGAACTCTCGGACATGCCAGACACATGCTTCCGGAACGTCGTCAAAGCAGTCGCGTGTCTTGTTCTTCAAGTGATTAGTTGGCAGGACTATTCGGACCGAGGTGTTCGGACAGATTGAATGTCCCGCACGAGCTGGAAGCTCAATTCGGACTGCCAAACATACGAGAAAGAAAAAGCTGACAGTCCTTTTTGGAGATATGCACGACCCGTCGTAGCCGGAGGGCCTCGTCGATGGCCCTCTTCATTGGCCAGCGGGCGAGATGTGGTGCTTCGCAGATCGCGAGCCCGGTCCTCGCTTTCGGGAACGTCCTCGTTGTCCGCCGGCCAGTGAGGTTCTGGGTACGAGGTGCGCGCAGACTTGGGAGGCTGGCACTAATGCTCCCCGCCGAGGTGCTACTGCTAGTGCAGCGTGGTGCACTTTTGAGATGGAGATTTCATTCGTTTCCCCCTGGCCCGGCTTCTTTTTTCTGTGGATGTTCTGCTTTGGAGCTAGTACACTGGTGGAATTTTCCCGCCTCATCCGCGCGCATCCCCAACGGTTTTGGGCGGCCCCGATTCAATTTACGAGCAGCTGGCAGCCTGGTCAAGCAAAAAAGTTGGCGACAACGAAGAGAGGGAGTGGAGGGGGGATTCGATTCTTTCGCAGTGAATCCGATCCAGAACCCCACAGCCTTTCGGAGCGCATTACCGTGGTTGGATACCAAATCCGAAGTCGTTGCGCCTCGTGGATGGGCGCGCTAGTGCCGGTACAGGGATCCAGGTCGTCGATCTGCGTCAGCCGACCTTCTTTCGGATGGGGCTTCTGGATGCGCAGATGGAACTGTGAATGGGAGTGTGAGGCCCATCTCCATCTCCATCACCCCGCATTCCACCCCCACCACGGCCAACCCATGCATCCATGCATCTCACCTACTATGTAGATTTGGGCGGACACTATTGAGACCTCCCCTCTTGGCCCGCGTCTGTAGCACAACGCTATTGTGTGCCGCGCAGCAATGCTTTTGCCTTTGGAGGTGGGAGGTGCTAAGATCCAGGGCGCCTATGCTTCCCCAAGCTCACCCGCTCGCAACCACCACGACACGTTTGGAGACACACACGCTGAGTCGCGCGACACGAACACACCAACATCTCGAGAGATCAGAGGAACATCAGTTCCTCATTCGGACGGAGTTCCTGGTTCCTGGTGTCGCCGTCGGCGGAACGGTCTCACAATCACATGCTCACGGCGCAGAGACGGGACGCAAAATGCATGAATTTCCACGCCGTCTCTGTTGACCGCCTTGCGCATGTCTACCTTACCACCCCTGGTTCCTGTGCTGACCGCGTATAGTCAGTCTTTTCGCATCTGCAGCTTCGCGCTGACAATGAACAATGCAACCCACCCCAGATTCTGCCGCCCGACATACCGAGGTGGGCAAAAACACAATGCGATGGCCCTGTCAACGCGCGCATATTCCCATGTGAAGTTGCTACGTCACAAGGCTGGGTTCCCGTTGCGGGTTTCCTGACGCTCCCGAGAGATGCTGGCCTTTTGAACTGCCGTGGTCATTCGGCTGCCCTCTACCGGGCACGTATTCGCAGCAGATGCATCGCATCTCGCACCCCCGGCACCGAAGGCCCCACTACCCCATGGGGAACGTTGCATTTCCAATTTTTTTGCGTTTTTTTTTTTTTCCTTCTTACTCACTCTCATTCTGCCCCGTCTTATTCCACCTGCTAGACAAGGTCCAGCACGACAGAGATACCCGCCCGATGGAGGATCATCACGACTCAGGGATTGGCGGGGACGTGAAGCCTTCTCCTCCCAATTGACCCTCCATTCCCGCTAGCACGATGGACGGGCCACTTGCACCACGCGCGCACCACCATCCACCATCCACCATCCGCGCGCACACACCCTCCCGGGATCATGTCTTGGACTCGTGGTGGGTGCGGTTTGTCTTGGGTGTTCCCACCGATCCATCCGCCCTAGAGCCAATTGCTCTCCCATTTGTGGGAACTGGACAAGCAAAGCAGAAACAAGACAGTCGAGAGTCTCCAAGACCCAGTTGGACTTAAATAGCCCGCAATCGTCCCCGTTCTCGACGATGGCCTCTCTTGTGCTGAGGCGTTCGAGACAGCTCACCGGGATCGACTACGGCCAAGCAATCACCGACTAGGTGCATCCCCAGCTCCATCCCCCGTCCCTACCTCCTCCAGATTTCCAGACGACAGTCCCCGTCCCGTCCACCATGCAGCTTCCCGCCCTCGTCTCGTCATTCTCCCTCCTGGGGGCCGCCTTGGCGGTTTCAGAGCACACGCAGCCCTTGGAAGACAGGGCCGCCACCGCGACCGTCGTCCTCGACACGGCCACCGTCATTGGCAACGTCATGAACAATGTCGAATCCTTCGGCGGCATCCCCTACGCGAAGCCGCCCACCGGCTCGCTGCGCCTGAAGCCTCCCGTGCGCCTGACCGACAACATCGGCACCTTCGACGCCACCGGCCCTGCCGGGGCCTGTCCCCAGATGGTGGCCTCTTCCGCCAGCACGAACGCCCTCATTGACATTCTCGGAGACATTGCGAACCTGCCCTTCATCCAGACGGCCACCGGGCAGAGCGAGGACTGCCTCACGATCACCGTGGCCCGTCCCCAGGGCACCACGGCAGATGCGAAGCTGCCCGTGCTCTACTGGATCTTTGGAGGTGGTTTCGAGGTACGTCGCTTGTCCGACCTGCGCGTTCATCCCGTGTGGCTAACCTTCATCCCAACAGCTCGGATGGTCCTCCATGTACGACGGCACCGGCCTCGTCCAGCACGGCGTCGACATCAGCAAGCCCTTCGTCTTCGTCGCCGTCAACTACCGCGTCGCCGGCTTCGGCTTCCTCCCCGGCAAGGAGATCCTCGCCGACGGCTCCGCAAACCTCGGCCTCCTCGACCAGCGCATGGGCCTCGAATGGGTTGCCGACAACATCGCCGCCTTCGGCGGCGACCCTGACAAGGTCACCATCTGGGGCGAGTCCGCCGGCGCCATCTCCGTCTTTGACCAGATGGCCCTCTACGGCGGCGATAACAAGTACAAGGGCAAGCCGCTCTTCCGCGGCGCCATCATGAACTCGGGCAGCATCACCCCCACCGACCCCGTCGACTGCCCCAAGGGCCAGGCCATCTACGACACCGTCGTCAAGAACGCCGGCTGCGCCGGCAAGGCAGACACCCTCGCCTGCCTGCGCGAGGTCGACTACACCACCTTCCTCAACGCCGCCACCTCCGTCCCGGGCATTCTGTCCTACAACTCCCTCGCGCTGTCGTACCTCCCGCGCCCCGACGGCACCGCCCTCCCCGCCAGCCCGGACGTCCTCGCCAAGGAGGGCAGGTACGCCGCCGTCCCCATGATCATCGGCGACCAGGAGGACGAGGGCACGCTCTTCGGCCTCTTCCAGGCGAACCTCACCACCACCGACAAGTTCGTGCAGTACCTCAAGGACTATTACTTCGCGACCGCGACCACCGACCAGATCAAGGCCTACGTCGCCACCTACGACACCGGCATCAACGCCATCATCAACGGCAGCCCGCACCGCACCGGCCTGCTCAACGAGATCTTCCCGGGCTTCAAGCTGCGCGCCGCGGTCCTCGGCGACCTCGTCTTCACGCTGACCCGCCGCGTGTTCCTGCAGCTGGCCGCGGTGGTCAACCCGAGCGTCCCCGCGTGGTCGTACCTCGCGTCGTACGACTACGGCACGCCGATTCTCGGCACGTTCCACGGCTCGGACCTGCTGCAGGTGTTCTACGGCGTCAAGGACAACTACGCGGCGCGCAGCATCCGCACGTACTACACCAACTTCGTGTACGCACTCGACCCCAACGTCGGGCTGAACGGGGCGTACCCGACATGGGCGCAGTGGGGCCAGGGGCAGAACATGATGCAGTTCTTTGCCAACTCGGCGAGCACGCTCAAGGACGATTTCAGGAAGAGCAGCTCCGACTGGATCTTGAACAATGCTGGAAGTTTGTACTTTTAATTAGTAACTTGGGGACTCGTGGAGTTTGAGGGATATGTTTGATGATTTATGATGGTTATAGTTACGAATACCAAAAAGATAATGTTGGCACAACTCTGATAATGCTCGGGTGTGAGTGAGCCGAAGCTGTTCGGTGGTGAATAGGCCGAGCGTCCGTGATGCGCGGGGAAACTTCCCGCTACATAGCGTCCGCATCTCGGCGATGACTAAGCCCGAGTCCTCCGACGTCTCCGTTATGTCTCTCAGAGGGTGAACGGGTGTGTGTTGAAAATAGGATGAATTTACACTTACGATTGCGTCCTGAATTTCAATCTCGAGCCATAAACTTCGACGTCTTGAGGTCAAAGTCACCGCCGGGAAGATGACGGACCCCTTCGTCCTAAGATGGGGCATCATGGCCACCGGCGCCATGTCCGAATGTCAGCTCCCCATCCCCCTTCCATGAACGGCTCTAACACTAACAAGACTTCTGCAAAGACCTCCTCACCAACCCGTCAACCCGTGGCGTCACCGACGTATCCCATTCCATCGCCGCCGCCTCCTCCTCCTCCAACGACCCCTCCAAAGCCACCGCCTTTCTGTCCCGCATCGCCCACCCGGCTCCGTCCACTGTCAACACCTACGGCTCATATCAAGCCCTGGTAAACGACTTGTCCGTCGACATCGTGTATATCGCCACACCGCACAGCCACCACTTCCAAAACGCTATGCTCGCACTAACCGCGGGGAAACACGTCCTCTGTGAGAAGGCGCTGTGCGTCACCGCGGCGCAGGCGCGTTGCTTGGTGCGCACTGCAAAGGAGAAGAAGCTGTTCTTCATGGAGGGCGTATGGACGCGCTTTTTCCCGCTCAGTAGACGGATTTGTGAGTTGGTTAGCCGAGGCGAGATTGGGACAGTCTATCGTGTTTCAGCGGACCTCTCGCGCGCGAATGGCGACGGCGACGATGTGACGGGCAAGAGGTTGGATTACGAGGACAGGCATCGCATGGTGAACCCCGATCTGGCGGGGGGTGTGCTACTTGGTCTGGGTGTATACGCGCTCACGTGGGTGTTTCAGATCCTCTACCACCTACAATCCGAGGCGGAGAAGGAGGCGCCGGAGGTGAAGGCCGCCGTGCAGAAGTATCACACGGGCATCGACGAGTCCGTCGCGATGCTGCTCAGCTTTCCGCGCCACGGGACGGTCGGGGTGGCTACTGCGTCGCTGCGCGTGGCGACGGATCCTGGAGAGACAGGGAACCCGGCGGTGCGGATTCAGGGCTCTCGAGGGGAGCTACAGGTGGCGCATCCCGCGTACAAGCCGGCCTCGTTCAAGATCATCAAACATAAGGATGATGGGGAAAGGGTGGAAGAGGTGGTTGAGTGTCCGCAGCCGCAGGATGGTGAGCGAGGGTGGGGGAATGGGACGTTTTGGGAGGCGGATGAGAGTGCGAGGTGCATTCGGGATGGGAGGCTGGAGAGTGAGATTATGCCGTGGGCGGAGAGTGTGCTGGTGATGGAGACGATGGATGAGGTTTTGCGCGGGACTGAGATTGTGTATCCGGATGTCATCTCAAGCTGTGAGTTTGATCTGCTCAGTCCATTGAACATGGGCAGCTGAGTTTAGGAAGGGATAGGGAAGAGATTTTCGAGTATGTAAGTGCACCATGTGTACCGAGTATAACGAGTATATCGAGCATGTCGGGTGTACCGAGTACATCGAGCATATTAGGTTCAGCATGGATCAATTGCTGGCTTATTCCGAATCAGGAGGTAATAGCTGTCAGTTACACACTTCAGACACGTGTAATCTTGTATGTCTTTGGGTTGGGAATTTTTGAATTAGGTTGAACAGCCAGACGAATACTGACGCAGCAATATACCTTTCAGGTCCACACTACAGAGGTATCGCAATGCGGCGTCACGACGCTTCCCCGTTGTTTGTAACTAATAGGATCCTAACTTTTCTAGACACTTTACAGGCACTGGAATTGATCTAGAAGTCATGTGTAGAGATGTCTCATTAATCGCCCGCAAGAAATGGTCCTCCTCGTTTGGACGCGACCATTAGTTACCAGTCTGCTTGATGGCTAAAGTTTGAAATCTGCCTCGGGGCCAGACATCCCACCCTGCAGCGTTCCATGTGAGCCCTGTATGCTCTATTGGACCCCAGAGTTGTCATAAGACCACGACTGCATGAGAGCCTGATTTTCATGCGCAGCACGTTGATCGGCCACACATGCTGCATTAATTGATCAGCACTGGACAGCCAATCACCGCCTACCCGGAAGCAGGACCATGCAGAATAGTGCGGGCGCCGGTCAGGTTCTGAGTTGGCATTGCAGGAGAATCCTCGCAGCTTCCGAAATTACAATTGAAAAATGGGACACTAAAGGGGGCAGATTCTCCTCGCAAGAATATCGCCCAGAAGAAGCCTCTTCTCATTTCCTTTCTTGAGTCTCTCATCTCAATTCTCGAGTCTCTCCCTGCCTCATTTCTTGAATATCTCTTCAATCCATCACACGACTACAACAGAGCCAATTGCCAGAGTTCGCCACGAAGAATACATCCAGAAACATGTCGTTCGGCATTGGCATCGGAGATTGCGTCCTGATTCTGCGAGGGCTTGTGAAGTGTTGGAGCCTCCTCCGCGGCGAGGCCGTCAACGGCGTTGCGGAGCACGCAGAAGCCTACAAGTCCTTTTGCAACGGAGCTCGTTCCTTGCGCAGATATCTGAAAGCCGAGGGGAGAGAACTGGAGCCACATCTTGACGAGGAAATAACGTCTCTGAATCGCCTGCTGAAGGACTTCCTCGCACGCATCAAAAAACTCCAATCGTCCTTAGGCGAAGAATGTGAAAAGAAAGGGTTTGGGAGGATCGTTCAAAAGATGCGATGGCCCCTTTACGACAAGATCCTGAGCGGGCTTTGTCAAAAGCTCAGCTTCAAGTTCGACATGATCAAATTCATTGTAGACCTGGATAACAGGTGAGTAGTACCCGCCCGATTAGAAAGCTGCTAACCGGCCGGTCTGGCAGTCCAATAGATCGTCCGTTCGTTTGATGAACCTCTGCCCTCCGGCCGGATTATCCAGGCCCCCAGATCTCGGGCCCAAATTCGTCCTCGTGGATGCTCGGTCCGAGTATCATGGCCTGTCAATGGCAGGCGTGAAATCCTGGGATGTAAGTAGTATATTAATCACCAACCTTCCATTCTTTCAAACGTAGATGATGCGATTTCCTGAAATCTATTGCCGAGGCCGTGACTAATGCGTCTAGGATTTGGCGACTTTTATTGATAGGGTGTTCTGTGTCGACAGCCAATCGTGCCTGGCCGTGAAGAACAGAAGCTACATTTTACGAAACAACACAACAGAAGAGATGGTCCTTCTCAACAGCCCCTGTATTCCTCCCTGGGAAGACTCGGTTAAAGATGGACATGAACTGGAAATGAGCATGCTTTTTCCGGACCACACGGACTACAACAGCTTCTGTCCCAAGTGCAAAAAGCCTTGGTCAAGTCCACTCAGCGTGGAAATGTTCTGGTATGTACATTACTTCGAGAGGTGCCTTGAGGGCTGAGTCCAACCGCACTATAGCACCAAGTGTGGCCTCTCCGCACGATTTCTCGATTTCTTCGACAATGAGCCAGACCCAGTCACTTCTTTGGCACTTAAGGACATCCGGAGAACAGGCTTGCGAGTATTCTTCGAAGAAACTATGCTAGGCATTGGTGCGAGAGGACCCCCAAAGATGAAGAATCAGGAGATGCCCTATGAACAGACCATAAACGCCTTGATCAAGTGTAGGGACGAGCTTGGTTCTCGCCCAGTGGCACCTTCCCGCAACAACAGATCAGGAATCAAGGACTTTCGAAGAATCACTTTTTGCAGCGACCAGTGGCCCGATCTCGCCAAAGCAACTGAGGTCGCCCGTTCGAGCGTCAAAAGGCTCCGCGCAGCCATTCAGGGCTTGAAACGTTATTCAGAAGCCAGATCAGCGTGCTTTCCCATGGATGTTTTTGCATCCCTTCTCAACTCTAGAATTTTGGATGCCCGCAGAGATCTCGAGATGAAAGCATTCTTCAAGTCGATTGTAGACGCGTTTTCTGCCCGTCAGACTCTGTGGATGCCCCCAGCGGCATTCTTCTCGTCTCTGGAGGAATACATTTGGTGTGCTCGTGACGCAAATGCGCGGGATGTTGCTTCCGTTATACGACTTCGATGTCTGTTGTGGACTTACGAGGAGACTCTGGCCCTCGATGCCGACTTGAAGCGCGGTTTCTTTGACCACTTCAGCCATTGGGCTGCATCCAAAGGAGCCGTAGACGACAGCGGCCTTCTTATCAATACGTTGTTTGGGATTGCTTTTAGCCCCCATGCTTTAGTCACTAGGCTTACCGTCGATGTCGTCGCGGATATTGTCGGCCTCTTCAGGGAAGGAGATCCAGTGCATATTCTTGCATGTCTGCCACTCTTGATCAAAGACTCGGCAGAGCTAGTGGTCATGCATATCCTCGATGGCAATCTTGCTGCCTACTTTCGCAAAGCCCGCACCTCTCGAGACAGCACCGTCCGCCAGCTGAACCAGGCTAGTAAAGAATGGTTGGAATCTACGATCGAATCTCGCGGGGAAACACTTGTCCATGATTCGACGTTTACGATGGTTTATAACACGTGGTCCAGTTTTGGATGACGATAGAAGATGATTTAATGCGAGGCTGCTTTTTCTCAAAGGGCGGCGATCATAGGATGTGAGTGGAGGTGCCAGAACATGCTAAGGGCCAGCTTACACGTACCTTTTCTTCTTCATGCTACCACGTGTCAGTACGCCTTGTGCCCAAAGAGGGATGTTGAATAATACAAGAAGAAACTATCAGTTGAATTAAAACGGAGATGGAGAAGTGTTTGATGGCTGAAAACTCAGTTGGTCAAGGAGACCAGAGTCCAGACACATGCATATTCACTGACGGCAAATAGAAGAACAGTCATTCCTGAAGGACGGCGTCGTCCCATGCTTATCAAATCTTTTCAAAGACTGATTAGCTGTTTACGGAAGAACGAACTTCTCTTTTGAACCAGTCTGCTTATGTGCCCAACCCTGGAGACTTCATTATCAGCTTGAAACGTCCCCTTACCTAGTACCCACCATTTCCTCCAGCAGCCAAGCTATTGCCCGAAGATACGACCTCAGCGGGAAAGGAGGTATGTGATGGTAGGTACTTGCCTTTGCTCAAAGGCCAGGCAAAGCGGATGTCAGAGGAAGGCTGTACGTGTCGTCGAAGATGCAGTTGGGATCCGCGCCACGTTCGTTGAGAAGGACCAGATCGACACGGTCGAGCTCCACTGCCTGTTTCAGCGCTTTGATCGGAATGTTTCACGAAGGGGTCGTGGGCGCAATCTCGATGATGGGCGTGCTGTTGACGAAGAGAATGGGAGATTTGAGAACGATGAGCAGCACGTCGCAGGCTCATCCGCCGAGGATACAGGCCACTTTCTCCGTGCGTTGCTTCGTCTACAACGCCGCCTTGAGCCGCGCTATGATTGCCTCGAGCCCTTGGCTTTTCCACTCTGAATCCACCAGAAGAGCTCTGGCAGCAGCCTGTTCTGGGCTTAAAGACACTTGATGCATGGCCTCAGAGCGAGCTGGGTAGACGATTTCGGCCGAGAGTCGCGGCTGTCTGATCACACGTTCGAATTTAGGACCCTTGAGCTAAAGGCATACGTGGTATTATTCGTGCAACACGAATCTTTCTTGGCAGTGAAACCTGAAACGACGTGGTAGTGAACCAATCGGGTTACCGAGATGTTGCCAATCGACACCCGTGAAGAAGCCGTGATATTTGATCTCTGATGTACGGCGCACTTCTCTAAAGCGCTGCATCGGAGTAGCGCGTCGTCAATAAGAGTCTCGGAAGCGATATATGTCGACTGGCTGAGGTCACCCCTCTAGTCGGTCGTGAACAGCTTCGGGATGACAATATGGATGTTACCAAATATGTGCAAGAAACCATTCTCAGAGCTCAGCATGGCGACAATGCCCAAGTCTTACAGGCTTTCCAGTGCACATACAAGCTGGGCGGCGTACAGCTGAGCTTAAGATCGGTCATCCAGCGACTTAGGGAAATCCAACAGCTTAAGATCGGGCTCAAGAGACGGAGCAGCTTATGTGGTTTGTACAACAATCTTGCAAAATCACAGGAAAAGGACAGGAATAGAGGCTCCTTCGATAGGTGCGCAAATTTAGCGGATCAAATGATCACGTTCTTCGTTTCTTCAATTCAATGTTCTACTTGCCATAGGCAAACAGAGACATGGCAGTTCGCTATTCAATTTCACAATCTCATGTTGACATTCTCTCACCCAACCCAAACCCAATCTTCTCTCCCCATCCACCGTCCAACACCTCAACTCAATGTATCACCCCAGATTTGCGGGTACAGTTCGAAACAAGGGTTGACAGAAAGGTAAGCAGTATTGCATGCGCCTCGGCTCCGGTTGTCAGGCCGCAACAAGGCGTCCATAAGTCTCATGACTTGGTGCGCTCCTCGATCTGCGCCGCCTGGATGTTGGCCTCAAGCTTCTCGTCGATGATGCTCGGGGACCTCGCGCGTCCAGCCGTGACGACGTCGCGGCCGCGCATCTGCGCCCACACGGTCTTGTGCGTGGGCTGCATGAAGAGGGCATCCATGTCTTCGAGGGTCAGGCCTGTGGTATCTAGTGTTAGTGACGAAGCAACGGTGGCGGGGGTTTATGACACAGGCGAGAAAGAGAAGAAACGTACCCTTGGTCTCCGGAACGAAGAAGAAGGCCCAAATGCCCATGAGCATGAGGATACTGCTGAAGAAGAAGTAGGCGCCGTAGCCTAGATCTGAGATCATGTACGGAGTGGAGCGCGCGATGATAAAGGAACCGAGCCAGGTTGTGGCGGTGGTAATGGAGACGGCAAGCATTCTGATCTCGAGGGTTTGCACTTCCGAGGCGTAGAGCCAGGTGATACCTTGCCAGGTGGCGCAGATGATGACACCTGTGAGATGCGTCAGCGAACTTAAGGGACAAAATGCGGAATGCGCAAAGTCTTACCGTTGATGTACACGCAAACCATGGCCAGATATGACCAGCCATCCCGAATGATGACTCCAGCAGCTGCTCTGGCGGCAGGATCCGCGCCTTGAATTCCAAATCAGCTTCGTTGAGATCCAACAGACCTATTGTGAACTTACGCATGACGTAGCCACCAATGTACCACATCGGAATGCATCCAAGGGCCGAGCCCCAGATAAGCCCCTTCCGTCGGCCAACCCGCTCAGCAACCCAGAAAGTGAACAGGAACATGCCAAAAGTTTTTGCGATGCCGTAGAAACCGGTGGAGAAGAGCTTCGTCGAGGTTCCCGTGATACCAAGACTCTCAAAGATGCGAGGGGCGTCTGAGCGTACGTGTTAGCAGGCGAACTTTGAAGGAACGACTTCGAGGATACTTACAGTAGGTAATAATGTTGACTCCAGTGAAACTCTGCAGGAACATGAGCGCCATTCCGAGACCCATTCTGTTGCGAATACCCTTCTGGAACAACTTCTGGAACATCTGCTTCTTCGTCAAGCGATTGTTCGTGCGCTGCTCAACCTGCGTGCGGATATCATTCATCTCGCGGCGGACGTACTCGTGGTCCGCAGGCAAGCCCCTCAGCTTCACCAGAATCCTCTCCGCAGCGTCAAAATGGTCGCCTCTCGCCAGCCAGCGCGGGGACTCGGGGCACCAGATCATGCCAAGCGCGAGCCCTAGGCCGGGAACGAGCTGGATGCCGAGCGGGACGACCCACTGTGCGTGGTTGTTGACATTGATGGTGCGGTCGGTGGCGTAGTTGATCCAGAAGCCGAGCATGCCGCCGCCCTGGGAGGCGATCTCGAAGATGCCGACGAGGCGGCCGCGGATGGAGGGCGGCGCCGTCTCGGCGATGTAGACGGGGACGGTGAGCGAGGAGGCGCCGATGCCGAGGCCCGCGATGGCGCGGCCGGCGTAGATCATGTTGAGGGAGCCGCGGGCGGCGGTCATGAGGGTGCCGCCGAGGAGGAAGACGGTGCCGGCGAGCATGACGGTTTTGCGGCGGCCGAATTTCTCGGCGATGGGGAACGTGAGAAGGGCGCCGAAGAAGCAGCCGGCCTGGAGGTAGCGATTAGGTTGAGGTTTTGAGGGGCAGAAACGGTGGTTTGTACCTGGAAAGTTGAAACGATGTTGCCTTGGATGGTATCTCTTGCGGTCGTGCTGACCTCGTCGAGGTGGAAGTCGCGTCGAAAGGAGTCCAAAGCCATGGTTCCGCCGATGACGGCCGTGTCGTATCCCACTGAAATCCGGAGTTAGCGATTTGTCCCCCAGGTCCGATGAACGCCGTGCTTCGGGTCCGAATGACCGATTTCTAACGGTGTGGCTCCCGAAACACGGCGGCGCGGGCCGGTCGCAAGCCTCAAACCTTATCTCAGGCAAGAAGCGCAGAGCTGAAGTAATCTAGAACACCGCGACGCAGGCTGTCCGCAACCTCAAAGAAAAGGGATATCGATGACATACTGGCCAGAGCAGACATGCTGGCAACCAACGCAATCAAGTGAATGCGCCAATTGCGCACCTCGGGGGGATCAAGCGTCCCTGCCGCGTGGGTGCTGAAGAAGCCCATCTTGGGCGATCGAGGCGCAAGTGGCGCGGGAGCGGTGCAAGAACAGCTGGTTTCGTGGGTCTCTTTTGGAAGAAGTACGTAAGGAAGAGAAGACTCGGCAAGCCCCCAGAAACGTGGAACGTGGTTGCGTAACTAAACACAAACGGGACCCGAACCCACGGACGGCGGGGAGTGGAGGGGACGCAAGCTTTATCTATGCCAACTGCGACGTGCCCACCCAAAATAAGCTTGAAGTGCGCTCCGTCGAATGAAAGGACATTTTTTGCGACATTATTGTGGAATGATCAGGATCAGCGTCGTCTACCCCGCGATGACCCCCATGGGGAAAAATTTGGGTGCATGGCCTGGTCGTCAAAACCTGCCGTTGGTAGGGCAGAGGACATCCACCCGAATTGGGCGCGCTGCAGCTGCTGGCAGGCAAGAAGGGAGAAATGGAGAGAAGAATGAGAAGAGAGGTGCTTCCAACCAAACAATCATGTTGGCAATTAGACCCCTGCACAGTTGGGTTGGCAGACACACACCTCCGCAGACTTGGCGTCAGCAGATGTGTGGATCAGCCAAGAAGAACGCCGAGGAAGACGAGAGGGGGGGAGGGAGAGAAGCAGACATCCGTTTTATTTCGTCTGAATTCATCTTGTACCTTTTGAGCCGAGCCATATTCAATTTGTGGAGGTTTGCACGGCGCCACAATATTGAAATGATCTATTCATAGTTTGAGAATTAAATACCTAAAAAGAATCGTAATGCTGTTTTTGATAATCAGAAAATTTTTGATCCAGCAAGAATATCGTCGAGAACCTCAACGGCCTGCAGAACTTCGTCTGAATTCACTAGAGAGCCGGGGGGCCTACAAAATAGAGTTCGACAAGACAGAAGGTTATTTTCACGTCCCGAAGCGCGGACTCGCTTGGGCCTCGTGGACGTTATCTCCACGGACATTGCACCATGCACCATTATTCGCCGCTGTCAACAGATGAAGCGCCAAGTCACGCTTCCGTAACATCTGGGACTGCACAGCCCCATTTTA